GTCTCTGTGGCCCAACAGGACAGGAAATGCTGATAGTGACCATGCAGACATCCCAGGGACTGGGCTACTGCCTGACATTTTGTAAGCTTTTCTCTGAGTCTATCTGAAGACCCTGAGTGGTCAACATTCAAATTTTCCCCAAGCCAGGCAAGGTGGCCCATGCTTGTAATCCCAGCTACTCAGGAGGATAAGGCATGAGGATCCAAGTTTGGGGGCAGCCTAGGTAGCTTAGTGAGGTTGTGTCTCAAAAACAAACCAACAAACAAAGGGATGGGTGTAGCTCAGAGAGCTTGTTTAGCATGCATGAAATCCTGGATTCCTTTCCAGCATTGAAAAAGCAACAAAGCACTCCAAAGTCACAGAGGAACAGGGATTACCCAGGGAAAAGTCATGGGTCCAAGCCCTGGATGCAGGGGGCACAGGGAGCAAAGGACAAACTTACCAAAGGCCCCTGATATTTTGCCTGACCCTCAGAAAGGGGTTCTCTTCCCACAGAGCCCTCCTCCCCAGTTTCCAGAACACCCCTGGACCCCAGATGCAGGGGGACGGGGCACTCACTGCATGGCCGGCTGTGAGGGGCTTTCTCAGTGCCCATGGCCTTTCTGGTTAGCCTGGGACAGAAGTCATCATCAGACATATGCAGAACTGGAACGAATGGCAGTGGCTTTGTCGTGCTGCCCTTGTTGGGTCAGAGATGCCAGGTCCTGGTGTGGGTTAGAGTAGTTGGGAGGCTGTGGAGGGCAGACTTTCCTTTCCTAAAAGTGTGTTATCATGGAAACTTTTCAACATATATAAAAACAGACACTAGGATGATGAAGCCAAGTGCTTCTACCATCTCATAGCCCTGGTTTCTAATTACATTTTATTCCTTCCCAAACTGGATTATTTTGAAGCAAATCCCAAATGTTGTTTTATAAATAAACACTTCAGGATATTTGTCTAAAACAGGGAAAGGCAAACTTTTCCAGTAAATATTTTAGGTTTTACAGGCCACATTTTTTTTTTTTACTTTTATTTATTTATTCGAATTCACATGTCTCTGTTTCAATGTACCCATATTCAAACCAATATATAAGTGAGGGTGTGGCTATGTTCCAATAAAGCTTTATTCACAGTAACAGGGCCATAGTTTTCCATTCTCTCATCTAAAAGATAGGAAATTACTTGAGATTGAATCCAAGGGCACTTAACCACTGAACCACATCCCAGCCCTTTAAAAATATTTTATTTAGATCCAGGGTCTCACTGAGTTGCTTAGGGCCTCACTAATTTGCCGAGGATGCCTTTGAACTAGCAATCCTCCTGCCTCAGCTTCCCGAGCCATGGGAATTTCAGGTGTGCACAACCCAACAAGAACTTACTTTTTTTTAAAACTATAATTACCACTATCACATTTTAAAATGGCAATAATTCTTTAGTATCACTAAACCAATATTCATATTTTCCCAATTGTCTCACAATTTTTGTTTGAATCAAGATTAAATTGGAGTTCACAAGTACATTTGAGTGATGAGTGTCTGTCACTTTTGGTTTTGTGGATTTGGGTTTTTTTTTTTTAGAACCAGGGATTGTGATGGGGTCCTTGGGGACCAGGTGAAGTGCTAGCAAGGCTGTGCAGGTCTGGTTCCTACCACAGAAAAACCTTTTGGTATTCATGGAGGTTGAGGCAGATGGTGTCTTGAGGTGAAATGGAATTAGGGGTACCCAGATAAGTCACTGAAGAGACCAGGTGTGTAGTGCTGTGGGACAAGTCTGGGGAAGCTGGAGTTATTTTGGCCTATGGGGAGTAGGGGGGTTTGCGGGGGCGGCTGGTATCCCAGCAGACCTGGCTCCCAGGGTGAGGGATTTCACTCTTGGAGAAATTGCATAGAGAGCCACTGCCCCTGAGGTTATGAGGGCAGACTTAATTTTTTAAAAATTTTTTGGGTACTAGGGTTTGAACCAACAATCTACATCTCCAGCCACCCCCACCCCCACCTCTTTCTTAAATTGGAGACAGGGTCTTACTAAGTTGATGAACTTGCTGGCTTTGAACTTGCAATCCTTTTGCCTCAGCTTCCCAAACTGCTGGACTTTTTTTTTGGTACCTGGGATTGAACCCCGGGGCACTTAACCACTAAGATACATCCCAGTCCTTTTTTATATTTAGAGGCAGGGTCTTGCTGAGTTGCTTAGGCTGGGTTTGAACTCAAAATTCTCCTGCCTCAGCCTCATGAGCTGCTGGATTTATAGGCAGCATGCACTACCATGACTGGCAAGGGCAGATTTTTTTTTTTTTTTAAGTTGGACACAATATCTTTATTCATTTATTTCTATGTGTTGCTGAGGATCGAACCTAGGGCCTCGCATGTGCTGGGCGAGCACTCTACTGCTGAGCCACAACCCCAGCCCCAGATTTTTTTTTTTTTTTAAAGCTCTTAATTTTTGGGTTCCCTAAAATTTAGAAGCAGTGGCACGCTGGAGCTAGCTCCATCAGATTCACAAGAGCTGATTTAAATTTTCAGGGTGTTGTTTTGTAAGTAACTCAGTCTTAAAAAGATACCTACAATTTAATAAATATTATTATTATTATTATTTGCAGTACCTAGGGATTAAACCCAGGGGCAGTCTACCACTGAGCTCCATTCCAGGAAACCCAACTTCCTCCAGAGTTGCTGGGATTACAGGCATGCACCACCTCTTCATATTTGAGTATGTTTTACCCTATTACACATGCTCATGAAGTGAATGTATTTTCTGAATTGGTGTGTGTCCGCTCTCAAATCTGTGTTCACCAACCTCACGTGGACAGCTAGAAGTCAGCTGTGGTGTGAGGAAACACACCATGCAAACTGGCATCTACTGCCTTTAGGCTTCCCCACTCCCAAGACTTACTGTTAAGACACTATCAGCTTGCCACTGCCAGGGAACCATCTATTCCCAACCTTCCACAGGGGTCCAAGGCTACTCTTCTTCTGGAAACTTATACCCGTTTTAGAAATCTGACCTTTCCCATGCAAGCTGAGCCTGATGGTTTAAGGACGTCATCTAGGGGAAGGGTCTGGGCTGTAAGGTGAGGGTCATCCCTAAACAGGGTAAAGGAATGCAGGGAGAACTTTTGAGAGTCACCTTTAAAAGCCTTGGATTCCAAATCTAGTCACCACCTGTTTGTTGTCTTCATAATAGTTAATGAAGAGGAACTTAAGAGGAGGGGCCAAATGCTGGACTGGCAAGGAAGCACATCTGCCTGTTTTCTTCCTGAAAAGGGACAAACTGCAGTTATAATGAAGCCATCATGCTAAGGGAGGCCCCAGTAGAGTGCTAATCCTGTTTGTTCTTGGGGACCCTCCCTGACTCCCCCAGGCCTGCTGGGGCCATTTCCCTATGGATCCAGAGAACTATGCACAGTGATCCATATTTATCTTGCTTGTGTTCTTCAAAGTGGGGTGCCCAAGGTCCTCCAGGGTGTGAGAAGAAAATATTAGAACTCCAATTTGTTTTTTATTTTTTAAATACAAGAAAGCTGAGAGTATAGCTCCATGAGGCAAAAAATCCCTCCTGCCCGCACCCCCACCTGCACACACACAAAAACCCAACTATAAAAGTAATTAAGCCTTACCCTTGTTTAATATGCAAGGAAATAAGAATGTTATATATTTTTTTTGTACTGGGGGTTAAACCCAGTGGCCCTTTACTACTTCACTCAGCCTTAGCAAAAATTCATTTTGAGATAGGGTCTCCTCAGTTGCTTAGCGTCTTTCTAAACTTCTGAGGCTGGCCATGAGCTTGTGATTCTCCTGCCTCAGCCTCCAGAGTTGCTGGGATTACAGGTGTGCGTTACTGGCCTGGCAGTGATAGGGATATTAAACACACACACATGAAACGTTTGCTCAAAATAGTTTTTTCTCTTCACATCTGAATGGCTCTTGCCAGTGATGGGCAGAGAAACACTGCTCCATTTTCTAACTACATTGCTAGATCAGAACTGGTGTAAAGCGCATGCTCCAAAAATGGATAATGAAGGAATAAACACAGTGAAACAAGCAGTTTTGTTTGTTTGTTTTCCAGGGGAAATTGAGGCCTTCCTTTGGGCAAAGGGATCAGACAGGCAAGAAGGTCCACAGCAGAAAAAGGACAGTTAGCTGGCAGAGCTTTTAGGGAAAAGCCACTAGGGCACTCAGGGCTCCTCTCCTCTAGTTCATTCTGCTTCCTCTCCTATGGCTTCTGCTGGAACTAAACTCTTGGTATTTAATTTTTTTTTTTAAGTTGTTGATGGACTTCATTTATTTATTTATATGCAGTGCTGAGAATTGAACCCAGTGCCTCACTTATGTGAGGCAAGCACTCTACCACTGAGCCACAACTCCACCCCTAAACTCTTGTTCTTTAGTGGAAGATAGTCCAAGGAAATAATCACTCATGACCTCAACTTTGGAAAACTTCTGGAAACTGGGCCATAAATCTCCAAAATATGTGGCCCAGCTTAGTGTTGAACAGACTAAGGAAAGCCAAAGGGCCAGATTCTCCATTCCCCAGAAGAATGAGACTCAAGTACTTGAGATCACTTGAGCCCATGGGGGTCTGGAGGGCTGAGGCAATGGGGCTTTACCTGCAAAGTGCCCTCCCATACAAACCCACACTCTAGAGCTTCACCTCTTCACCACTGAAGCATAACCTTAATCCCACAGCTGGCCCTGTGACAGAGAGGAATGCAGTCTATGATGTCACTATGACATTTACACCCGCTGGGGTGGTGTCTTACATATGGTGGCGGATGACAGCATTCACACATTATTTCAAGACAGGATTCTATAGAAAATATGGACCCTGCCTTGGTGCTGCTCTTCCACCTCTAGTTAAACTGTCCCACCAGAAGAATGCTTGTCTTGAACTTGTGTTGCTTCCTCACCATAGGTCCAATCACATATTGATTGGTGTCTATGAACAGTGTAGTTTTGCTTGTTTCTGCTTTTCAAACTGAAAAGCAACTCTCTCCTTCTAATATTTACCCAAACAGCAGGTTTTATTTCACAATACACTTTATTTAGGAAAGCAACATACCATCACAGGTATTTCAAAGAATGCAGCAAAGTACAAAGACAAGATATGAAAGACAACTGGAATACAACCAACTAACTGGCTTTGGCCTTCAAGACACTGGATCTTACCATGACTAAGTTAACTTTGGCAATGGGAAGAGAGCAGAACCAAGTCTGTGGCTGCCTCTGGCAACTCAGGCCATATTACACTTTAACAGGTACTTTTGTAGAGTAACATGCTGAGTTTTATCTTCATTGTTTATTGAACATGTGACAGGACTGTGATGGGGACACAAAGGGGAATGACAGTCAGTCTCTGCCCACAGGAGCTCACAATCTAATGGTGAGATAGAGAAGCACACAGTCAACACAATACAGTGTGAAGTGCTAGCTCCAGTGTCCTAAGGGGACCCCAGGATGGTTACCTAACCCAGCTTTGCACAATCAAGAGGTTTCCAGGAGGTAGCAAGCCTAAGGCAAGTCCTGGAGGATGAACATGTATATTAACCAGGCAAAGGGAGGCCTCTGGGTGTGAATTCTGACCTTTTGTCATCCCTTGTGGACCCTGAGGGACCATCTCTTCCTCTGAAACTCTCTATCCCATTGTCAGTTCCATTTTTTTGTCTTGGTGGTTAATTTTCATGAGCATACGTCTTGCACTCCAAGACTAGGCTGCCATCTCCTCAAATGACAGGGAGTAACCTTAGTCTTTTTTCAGCATACCCAAGACTGAGTTGGACAGAGTGGCTGCCAAACACAAACCCTGGATAGGGAATAGATTGTTCTTCAGTGAATGAGCATTTCTCCATCACTTGGCTGGAACAAGAAGGAAGAGGTGGGTGGTTGTAGTAGGTGAGAGGGGCCAAAGATACACATATAACACAAAAACCACCCATTATGTTGCTGCCTGGACCAGAGGACTCAGAATATTTCCTATTTGCTAATGGGAAAAGTCCAACCACAGAACCATTCTCTCAACAGCACAGTAATTTGAAAGAAAGTTATTTCACTGAAACCCAACATGACCCCCACCCTGCTGCCCCAAATCCATGGCCCTGAAAAGACCTGCATTCAGTCAAAGGTGATTCGGAAGCTGCGCTCCTGCTCCTTGCGACGCCCTTCGCACACTTTGGTCACTTCTTCCACCTTTCTCTGCAGCAGGGCTGAATTCTGGTCAATCCACTGCAGAGAGTCCATGTGTGCATTGAGGATCTTGCAGATCTGCTGTAGAGGGTCACTGGTGTCGGCAGGGCCTCCAGATGTGTTCAGGTGCTCGATGATATCCTTGAGGTCCTGGGCCATACGTTTCAGCTGTGCATCAATGTTCTCAGCCAACTTGTAGGTCTTCTCACGCTCCTCGTCAGCATGCTGCAGGTAGATGGTCCCGCTCTGTTCCTTGACTGACTCCTCCAGTGGGCTCAGCAGGTCTTCCAGCTCCTTCTGTTGCGATAGGATGAAGTCAAGCTCTTGGTCCAGCCGCTTCTGATCCAGCTTCACCTTCTCTACTTCCCGGTGCAGGCTGGTGATCTTCTCCCCATTTTCAATCAGGGTGCGGTCCCAGGCATTGACCTGGGTGGCCTGCTGAAGGAAGTGCCGTTCCTGATCCTCCAGTTCCAGGCTCCACTTGTTGATCAAGCTCTCCAGCTGCGCATAGGTCATCACAGGACAGGTGGCTGCTCCAGCAGCTGTACTGGTGCCAGGTGGAGCTGTCACAGCAGCTGGTACATTGCTGGGGATCCCACTTGGCACCAGTGGTTTTAAACTCAAGGCAAAGCCAGTAGAAGTGGTGGTGGTGGTGGTGGTGGTACTGGAAGAGGATGTTGCTGTGGAGGCACCAGAAGCTGCTCCAGGAGCCTTTAAGCTAAACCCCAGTGTACCAGCTCCAGGAGCTCCGGCAGTGGTTGCTGGGGCACAGAGGGAGAGCCCTGTGGTGCTGGATGAAGTGGGAACAGTTGCTATTGAGGCAAAGAGAGTAGGCCCTGCACTGGTGGTGGCAGCAGTGGGTGTGGGAGCGGCTGGCTGTGTGGTCCCCGCTCCAGTGGTTGCTGGTGCTGCTGGAGTGAAGGGTAATCCAGACAGTGCGGTGGGCTGGGCAGAACTGCCAACGGAGCCAATGTTGAAACCAGAGGTTCCAGTCTGGGACGTGCTTCCACCAGTGAAGGAGAACCCTCCAGATGTGGTAGATGGGGCTGCAGAGGTGGTAGAGGAGCCAAACACAAAACCAGTGGGTGCTGCCCCTTGGCTGGAGGTAACAGTGCTTGAAATGGCATTGGTAAGGGTGCTGCTGCCAAGCCAAAAGCCACTGGGGTTCCCTGTGGCTGGGCTGGTAGTTGTATTGCTCAAATTTAGCTTTGGAGCATTGATTCCTAAGGAAAAGCCAGTTCCTCCAGAGGCAGGAGTTGTTCCAAATGTGAACCCTGAGGACTGTGTTGCTGGAGCTTGGGTAGTGAGTGAGAACAGACCAGTTGAAGGGGTGGTTGTAGTTGGCTGTGAGGAAGTCCCAAAGTTAAACCCTCCAGTGCCCGAAGCAGAGAAAGAAAACCCCGTTGCAGGGGTGGTAGTTACTGTCTTTGTAGTGCCAAATGTGAACCCGCCTGTAGGAGCCCCAGTGCCTCCAAAATTAAACCCGCTCATGACTCCAGACTCTGGTGGCAGCAGCTACTCCAGCTTCCAAGCAAATCCAACAGCGTCTGCAACCTTGGGGAAGATTTTTAAAGCAGAGGAAGCAACATGATCAGATGGCAGTTATGAAAAGGCAACCTCAATGGCATGATGGAGCACGCTTGGTTTGGAGGGTGGTAGGGCTAGACAATTACAAAACAGGCAGCAACCTTTCCTCTTCCTTCTGTATAACCCTAACTAGACTCTGCTAAACTAGCAAAGGAAGCACTAATCCATGCTCCAAGAGTCAGGTGCTACAAGCTATGTGTGTCTGGGTAGTGTGCGAACATGTTCAGGACAGTGGGAGCCTTCCACTGTAGGGAGAAAGTGGGAGACCGACCCTGAAGTGAACTCAGCCCCCATGAGGAGGTCCAAATGGAGGCACTTCCAGTGAATGAAACTAGAAGGATACAAAATAACACCTTTGGGACCTGTTCCCAGGGTGGGACCCAGTGAGGTTCTCCTGCTGGCTATAAACAGAGCATTTGGGAACTGATCTGGCTCATGCTGCTGAGAGGTTGGCTCTGGCACATCCCTCACAACTTCAGGGGGCATAGGGCAGGCTGGAGCCTATGTCATTCTTGGATGGGTGTGAGACCTGAATGCTTAATCAGGGCACTAAATGCCTCTGGATGTGATGACTGGCTCAGGAATAAAGTGAGATGTGGTCAGCCAATCTAGGGTTTTCCACCAGGCTAAAAGGCAATAACTTCTTTTATTTGCAGATGTAGCCACAGTGGGTATGTATCCAGGCTTTCCCCTGGGCATCTTCTTAGCCATCTGCAGTGGGAAACAATGAGTTGCCAACAGAGAGTGATGGGTTTGGGGAGAGAGAAGGGAGAGGGATAAAGAACAACCCAGAAGCTCCCAGGGCCAGAACATCTCCATTCACTTTATTTTGGTACTGGGGATTGAACCCAGGATTGTTTACCACTGAGCTACACACCCAGCCCTTTTTATTTTGAGACAGAATCTTGATAAGTTACTGAGGATCTCACTAAGATATTAATGGCCTCCAACTTGTGATCCTTCTGCCTCAACCTCCTAAGTAGCTGGGATCACAGATATGTGCCACAAGCCCTTCAGGCCTTGGTTTTTGAAAGAACCAAATTACAGAGTATGAATTCATTATAAGGAACTAGTGGACTCACACAGCCAATTTTTATAATCACAATCTGAATGGGATACACTGAGTTAATGAATTAAACAAGCCATCCTAGGCTGGCTTTCTGTCATATTGTGTCTCAAAGATGATGGGGAAGGGGACCCTAGACCAGGTAGGAGTTAAAGGCGGCATGTGTAAACCACACAGGCCTGGTGAAGGCATAAGAGTATAATCTTTCCAGGTGGGCAGTAAGTAAGGACCCCTAATTGGTTTCCAATAGAGTTTGGTGTGGCTGACAGTATAATGACCCTCCAATGTGTCCACTGGGAGTACATCACCATACACAGTAAAAGGGACTACGTAGATATGATTTAGAATCTTGTAATGGGGCCTGGCATGGCAATACATGATGCAGAAGGATCACAAGTTTGAGGCTAGCCTCCAACTTAGCAAGACCTTAAGCAACTTAGTGAGATCTTATCTCAAAATTGGTTTCAATCAATCCCCAGTACAACAACAAAGAAGACAAAAACAAAAACCACACAAAAAAACAAATAAATCTTGTAATGGGGAAATTATCCTGGATATCCAGATGGCCCTAAACGTAACCACATGTGATACTATAAGATGGATGCAGAGGGAAATTTGATGGGAAAAGAGAAGGCCACGTGATGATGGAAGCAGAGATGGAACTGATGTGCTTTAAATCAAAAATGGAGAAAGGGGTCCCTGACCAAAGGAAAAGCAGGGAAACAGTTTCTCCTCTGCAGCCTCTAGAAGAACCAGGCCTGCCCATACCTTGATTTGGCCCTATAAACTTAACTTCGGACTTCTAACCTGCAGAACTGTACAAGAACCAATGTGTGTCCAAGCCACTAAGTTTATGGTAATTTGTGAGAGCAGTCAAAGGAAACGAATATGGTTCTGAAGTAGAAGATGCTCAGTTCTCTCCTCAGGAAAGGTGGGGTACCATCTGGGGTACAGCCAACATAGGAAGGGTACAAGCCTGGGTGCTCACTATCACTGTGGCCACAGGGCAAAAACAAAACTGCATTTTCACATTGTGGATGCCTCTGGAAGATGGTGAGAAAAGGGACTGGGAGGTACCGTAAACACCAGCTGTGAAGTTCTTTCATAAAAGACCCTGGGTGTGGCTGACCTCAAGTTTAGTATGAATTCACAGTTTGTTAACACCGTTCAGTGCATCCTTGGGCAACAAATGTCAATTCTTAGAGCTTTCTGGGGCAGCTGACTCCAACTCTAACAACTTTGTGTAGTTAGCACTATGCTATACTTTCCTCACCAAGACCCTCAGCTAACTTTATAACTGTCATGGGAGGGAGGTCAGGATTTTGGCCCTTGTGCACAGTTAGGGGAAAAGGCTGAGGTGGAAATAGGTTGTCAATTCTTTTTTTTTTTTCCTTTTCTTTTTTAAAAATATTTATTTAGTTGTAGATAAACACAAAGTACCTCTTTATTTTTATGTGGTGCTGGGGAACCCAGTGCCTCACACATGTAAGGCAAGCACTTGAGCTGAGCTACATCCTCAGTCACAAGAAACCTCCTACAGCTGTCCTCATCCCTTTTACTGTATCCTTTGCTTTCCTCATAATCCCCTATTTTTTCCATACAGTCATGCGGGAGATGTCCCCACGGTCACCATGCTGGACTGGCCTGGTCTAAGCCAGTAGATCTCAACTGGCTGCCCAGTGGCACTACCTGGGAGCACTCAAAACATGCAAAACTGCCAGGTCAAAGGTCAACTCTCTGGAGGTGGAATGCTGGCCTTGTCATTTTTACAAAGCTATCCTAGGAAATTCTGTAAAAGATTCCTTCATGCTGGGCATGATGATGCATGCCTGTAATCCTAGCGACTCAAGAGGAGGCAGAAGGATACCAAGTTCAAGGCCAGCCTCAGCAACTTAGCAAGACCATCTCAAAAAATTAAAAAAAGGCGGGGCTGGAGATATAGCTCAGGTGACAGAGTGCTTGCCTTGCATGCACAAGGCAGGCCATGGGTTCAATCTCCAGCACCACAAAATAAATAAGTTTAATTAAATTAAATAAAAATGGGGAAAAAAGAAAAAAAAAAAAAAAAAGGCTGGGATGTGGTTAAGTGCCCCTGGGTTCTTTATCTGGTATTCCCCCGCCCTCCCCATAAAAAGTCCCTTTATTCTCCAGAGGCCATGGCAGATGTCTCAGCTCCCAGACCTTCTTGTGTAAGACCACACTGAGCCACCTTGAGGTGGGTTTGTTATTAGAAGCCAAAAATAGCTGACTGGCTAACTTATGTCTCAGTTCTCAAGAACTCAGTTTGAGAGAGCTTTTGCTATTAATAAGTTGAAGCTAAATTTTTCACAAGAACATTTATAAAAAGTTCTCAACTACTGCAAGAGCCAGGTGCGGTAGTGCACGTCTGTAATCCCAGCAGCTGGGGAGGCTGAGGCAGAAGGATCATGAGTTCAAGGCCAGTCTCAGCAACTTAGTGAGACCCCGTCTCTAAATAAAATATAAAAAAGGACTGGGGATGTGGCTCAGTGGTTGAGTGCCCCTGGGTTCAATGCCTGGTACCAACAAAACAAAACTACAAGAGCTAGACATAATAGCACATGCCTATAATCCCAATGAAGCAGGAGACTGAGGCAGAAGGATCATAAGAGTTTGAGGCAGCCTGGGCAACTTAATTCAACCGTCTCGAACAAAACAAAAAAAGGCTGCTAGGATTTAGTTCAGGGTTAAAACACCCAGTACTATGAAGAGGAAAACAACAAAAAACAATCTTAGTAGACTACAAGAGAAAAAAACTTGTGGGCTTGACTGGTGTAATGGCTCACCACTGATTAAGTGCTCCATCAGTTTTCCAACAATATAGGAGCCAGGATCTATTCCTGTGGTGCACACATGCTGATCCAACCCTGTTCTACATGCTTCTGACAGATTATTATTCACTCCTGAAAGCAAACTCTTCAGGGTAGGTCCATCTTGTCAATAAGGACTACGAGGGCCAGAGTTGTGAGCTAAGCCATGGCTCCTGCCATCAAGGTGGTCAAGAGATATGTCAAATGTGAGCTTCAGGACCAGGTTCCAGGTGGGGACAGGGCTGGGGCACATGTCACAGGAACAAGGAAGAGGCTCTTACCCTGGCCTGGGTTCCAGGGAGTGTTGAAAGAATCAGGGTTGTCAGGGCCAGCCAGGAGCTGGGTAGGGAGGGGAGGTCATCCAGGTCAGGGAGGATCCTGTGTAAACACAACAGAGCCTGAAACAGCAGGTGTTTGGGGTGTCAAGAGGGGCAGTGGATGTGCAGTGAAGGGTTGACTTGGCAGGTGTGAGCTGTGCAGACCGTAAACATTCTATGAAGACTTGCTCTTGCCCAGCTCCTAGGAGAGAACCTCTAAGACCCTGGAAAATAGAAACTGTGTCATGATTCCCCTGTGGCCTTAGGCCATTCCAGGTAGTTCACACCAACAATGATTTATAGTGGACATTGAGGACTGAATATCTAAATTTATCCATAAAGATATTGTAGGGACAAATGCATGGAGTACCGCATACATGGCATATGTTAAGGGCGTCTGAGTGGCAGGCCATTCCCCTTGTGCTAGGCGTTGTGAGCGGCAGGCACAGCCCTGGGTGTGAGGCCATGTGTTGTAATCCCTGTGCTTGCTCCATGGCCCACTCCTTGATTGGTTGCTGCAAGGACAGCAGAAATTGTATTGGTGGCTGCCTGTAATCTGCTTAGCTACTGCCTGAGTATATATGGAAACTGTGCAATAAAATCAGACCTGCTTCCTGCTTGGTCTCCGAAGGTCTTGAATATTGACTCCACAGCCACACTCTCATCTACCCTGTTCTGTGGGCCTCCTCACTGGATGAGAGAGCACCCATGCAAGATATTCCTTGCCAGTGGAACTGATCCCCCACAAAACTTTAGATATCAAGGTTCAGGTGAGCTTCCCTGGTTAACACTACAAACAGTCCCTTATTTACAATGGTTCTACTTAAAACTTGCCCTTTTTATTTTTTATTTTGAGACAGGGTCTCACTAAGTTATTGAGGGCTTAGCTGAGTTGCTGAGCATGGCCTTGAACTTATGATCCTCTGGCCTCAACCTCCTCAGTTGCTAGGATTACAGGCCTACACCACCATGCCTGGTTCAACTTACAACTTCTTTTGACTTTGCAATGGTGTAAAAGTGATATGAATTCAACATAAACTGTACTTAAACTTTTACTCTTTTCCCAGGCTGGTGACACATGGAATGATCCTCTCTTGAGATGCTGGGCAGCAGCCAACCAGGGGTTGCTTGCAGTCAACCCTTCAATCATGACAGTAATCTGAAGTGTGCAGTGCAGCTAAACCAGCTTGTTCAGGTTAGGCATACTTCATCCATTTTCAACTTATGATGGATTTTCTCAGGACACAGCATCATGTTAAGTCAAACAGCACCTGTACTCCACATGTGCTGCCACATGTTGTTGCCGGGAGCACTAAATGCTGTCCATGAACTCCAAAAGGAGCAACACCTGGAAGCTTGTGCTTCACACCTATGCACCTCTCCCCTTGGCTGATTTTAGTTTGTGGCCTCTTGCTGTAAAAAACTGGCCACAAGTATAACAGCTTTGCTGAGCTTGGTGAATTGTAGTGAATCACTGAGCCTGAGGGTGGTCTTGAGGACATACAGTTACACAAGATGTGGTAGGAGAAATCAGCAGAGTCACAAATATTAGTCTGGTAACTTAAAACTTTTTGTTGAGGGAGCCACAGGGACTGTAAGGGGTAGGAGTTATTATGGCCAGAAATTAGGGAGCACTAGATTAAGGCAAGGGCAATGGTCTGGCTGAGAATTCAAAGTCTGACCTGGGACTCTTTAAGAATAGAGGTGAGAGAATCACAATTTGAAAAATGTGCACAATGTGACTTTGATAAACAAAGTCACTGACAGCCAAGACTTGGAGAGTTTCTCACAAATGCAAGCTAGCTTGAACTCTGACACGGGCATTTCCATTTTTACCATCAGGGAGAATTTTCCTAAGAGAAGCCAAGGGTGCCAGAGGAAGCAAAGAGGAACCCAAACTAAGGAAGTGGTGCATCTCCTGGTAAAGCGGAAGGGAATGCTTGCACCAGGTGCTCAGGGCTGGATGGCACAGCTGAAGCAACCTGTGGCTCACCTGGATTACTGGTCCTCTTGCCACTCCTCATATATCTGTTCTTGTGTTTCAGAGCATCCCTACCATCTGGGAGCTGAGGAAAGACCCACCTGGGATTGTGACCTACAGATTCATCCCACCCCCCAGCTTGGGAACCATGGTTCTCTTCTGTCATTGCCAACCATCACTCAGTTCTACTAACTCACCTCCATCTTAAGTTGTTTTGCCACTCCAACTTAACTTTACCTGAATTGTTTACTTTAATAATTCACTCAGTACTACCCTGAGTAAGGTGATGACAACACAGAGGGGAATAAAGGCTTGTTCCTGCAAGGCACAGTGGCGCACAACCATAATTCCAGCAACTTGGTAGGCTGAAGCAGGAGGTGCCCAAGTTCAAGGCCAAGCCTCAGCAACTTAGCAAGGCCTTATCTCTAAAAAGGGCTGAGTATGTTGCTCAGTGGTTAAGCCCAGCTGCTGGGTTCAATCCCCACTACCAAAAAAATAATAAAATAAAAATTGTGGAAGAGTAATCCTAACTACTGAGAAGGCTGAGACAGAAGGATCACAAGTTTGAGGCCAGCCTGGACAACTTAGTGAGACCTTGTCTCAAAATGAAAAATAAACACTCACTCACTCTTGGGCACCACCTTCCCTCACTTGCCCTACCACATTGGTGATGGGCCTGCACCTTTGCTACCTGTGTTTCTGGAGGGATTACCTGTCCAAAATCCCATCTTTTGTCCATTTGAGCATATTCACTGGGCAGCATATCACCAGCCAGCAAACCCAGCATGTCAAATAGGACTTGCTATCCATTTATCATAAATATCCTTTGAATCAGCTTCTCCCTCTCCCTCCTGTCAAAGAAAACCCTAGAAGCCTCAAGGGACAGATCAGCTCAGAGCCTGATTTCAAGAATGGAAACCAACTGATGAACAAGAAGCACCTTATTAAGACCTCAGCCAAGGCAGAGGTGCCAATGCTCTTGGAAGAGAAAGCAATGCAGAGGAAAGGCAGGTATTGCCGGGCAGGTTCTGCAGTAGAAAGGCCTGTGCGGCCAGACCAGAGCATGAGTGTGGGTGGTAGTAGGCCATAAGAGGGTTCCACCAGGCAGACTCATCCTGGTTGCTGACAGGAGATCCTAGTGGCTTAGGCTGTGTTTCATCTTTTTTCTCCAAAATGAATCACAGGAATCTTTAGAGCACGTTCAGACACTTAACATTGAAACGTTCATGTGTTCCTGCATGCTACCTGCCATAGAGGCCTTACCATACCTGCCCCATTTCTCAACCACCTCAATGACACACTGATGGGCTTTAAAAATGACAAACTTGATCTTTTCTGTTCCTAAGTATGATGAGTGAGTGTTCACACGTTCTGTGAGATGTATCTTCCACTAAACCTTGCATAACATGCACACATTACCTAACATATAAAATTAAAACAAACAAACAAAAAACTACTCTCTTAATTCTATGAGCAGGTCCTCATAATTCTATGAAGAAAAGGTACAAAAAGGAATACTCTGGTCCTCTGTCCCAAGCCACTTAGCTCTCACTCCTGGAGACAAGTTGTTATCTGTGCTTCTTTCTAGAGGTTTTCTGTACACTCAAGCAAATTCGAAATTTGTAGTCTGTTTGTATCTAAGAAACAGCATCCTAGATGCACTGTTATTTTTTCATTTAATTTATCTTAGCAGGCCTGTTCTCCCCATTGGGTAGAAAAGGAAATTGAGTTTCTCAGAGAGGCACTGACCTGTCTGAGGCTCCCAAACTATGTCTGTCACCTGCTGCATAGGGTGGTACCTAAATGACTCTTGGATTCTTCGAGGTCCTCAACCTTCTGTTCTTCCCTCTTTCCCTTGAAAAATACTCTTTCCCAAGAAGTCACAACTAATTAGCAATTATATTTTCTTTCCTACTCCTGAGGCCCAGCTGCACCTAAGGAGCTCAGGTGGTGGGACAAATAGCAATTTTCCCCATGGGAACGCCAATCAGCTTAGACATACATGGTAAAGAAGCCAGGAAACAACCACAGGAGTAGATCTTAAGAATTTTTTTTTTTTTTTTTTGGTGGGGAGTGGGAGGTGATGGTGCCAGGGATTGGACTCAGGGTCACTCAATCACTGAGCCACATCCCCAGCCTATTTTGTATTTTATTTAGAGACAGGGTCTGGGTTGCTTTGTGCCTCACTTTTGCTGATGGCTTTGAACTCGGGATCTTCCTGTCTTAGCCTCCCCCAAGCCGCTGGGATTATAGGCATGTGCCACTGTGCTGGTCTGTTTTTTGTTTTTTTAAACAGAGGGTCTCACTATGTTGCAAAAGCTGGTCTTGAATTTCTGGGCTCAAATGATCCTCCTATTTCAACCTCCCAAGTACAGGTCCATGCCAATGTGCCTTGCTCCTAAGGAGTCTAGAACCACCGCTCTTAATGTAAAAATAATAGAACTGGAAGATATCTGAGGAATGCTCTAGTGCTGGGACCCTACCTCTTTGCTAAGATTGTTTTCTTTATTGTACTGAAAAAATTCCACCCAACTACATTTTTAACATTTAAATTTTAACTATATAATTAATAAGTCATTTCTTTAGGCATATTTTTTAGAGCCATTACTGATAAAACTAATCCTCCCTTGAACACTACCTTACACTCTGGTCCACAACACCTGTGAGGTAACCCCTATTAAAAAGCTACTGTGTAGCAGGGCACAGTGGCACATGCATATAATCCAAGCAGCTTGGAAGGCTGAGGCAGGAGAATCACAAGTTTAAAGCAAGACCCTCTTTAAAAATAAAAACAGGCTGGGGATGTGGCTCAGTGGTTAAGCACTGCTGGGTTCAATCTCTGGTAACAAACAAAGACCTGCTGTGTATCTTTCCTCTGTTTATCTGTGTGCAGTCATAGCCAGAATGTTTTTATGTGTCTTTGCTAATACATAGGTCATCATACTGTAAAGCATCATTCTACAGTTTGATTTTAATTCCTTCTAATGCTGTCAATCAGACCACTGTAGAGACATATCACATTTTATCTATTCTTTTACGATGGAAACTTAGAACTTCTAATTGTTCTTCATTACAAACAA